TCGGCTTGGGTCATGATCTCAGGGTCCTGGGATCGAGTCCCGCATCGGGCTCTCTGCTCCGGAGGAAGCCTGCTTCCCTCTCTCTCTCTCTCTCTCTGCCTGCCTCTCCAACTACTTGTGATCTCTCTCTGTCAAATAAATAAATAAAATCTTTAAAAAAAATAATAGAAGAAACCAACAAAATCCAAAATAAAAATAGAGAAAATCAATTCAATAAAAAGCTGGTTCTTTGTTGTTTTTTTAGAGGGGGAAAGAGAGAAAGAGAGAGAGAGAGAATATTAAGCAGCCTACATGCCCAGCACAGAGCCACAGGGCTCAGTGATCTCACAACCCTGAGACCATGAGCTCAACTGAAATCAAGAGTTGGAAGCTTAACTACCTGAGCCAACTAGAAGCCCCTCAAATCCTTTATATTTTAACTTTTCTGAATCATTTCTCCCATCAATTCAGAGGGTTCTTTAAGTGATTGCTTACATATTTCCATCTTGGTCCTGAATTAGTGTTTTTCTTTGGATACAGCTAAATTAAATAAGGTTTTTAAGAGATGCATAACAAAATTAAAGGTTTGGGAGATTAATCTTGAAGGTTAGTCTTTTTCATTTTTAGTAAACTTGAAGAATTTTTATGTTTTTCATTTTTTGTTTTAAATTGTATTTAAATTCAATTAACTTATAGTGTATTATTAGTATCATAGGTAGAGTTCAGTTATTTATCAGTTGCATATAACACCCAGTGCTCATTATATCATGTGCCCTCCTTAATGTCCATCACCTAGTTACCCCATCCCCCCACCCTCCTCCCTATCTGCAACCCTCAGTTTGTTTCCTATAGTTAAAAGTTTCGTATGGTTTGTGTCCCTCTCTGATTTTGTCTTTATCTTATTTCTCCCTCCCTTCCTTATGATTGATCCTCTGTTTTATTTCTTAAATTCCACATATGAGTGAAGTTATATGAAAGTTTCTTTCTCTAATTTGACTGATTTCACTTAGCATAATGCCCTCTAGTTCCATTCGCGTCATTGTAAATGGTAAGATTTCATTTTTTTGATGGCTGAGTAATATTCCATTGTATATATATTCTACATCTTCTTTATCCATTCATCTGTCGATGGACATCTGGGCTCTTTCCATAGTTCCATAGTTTGGCTGTTGTGGACACTGATGCTATAAACATTGGGGTGCAGGTGCCCCTTTGGATGCTGTGTTTGTATCTTTAGGGTAAATACCTAGTAGTGCAATTGCTGTGTCATAGGGTAGCTCTATTTTCAACTTTTTGGGGAACCTCCATACTGTTCTCCAGAGTGGCTGCACCAGCTTGCATTCCCACCAAAAGTGTAAGAAGGTTCCCCTTTCTTCACATCCTTACTAACATTTGTTATTTCCTGACTTGTTAATTTTAGCCATTCTGACTGGTATGATGTGGTATCTCATTGTGGTTTTGATCTGTATTTCCCTGATGCTGAGGGATGTTGAACATTTTTTCATGTGTCTAGTGGCCATTTGTATGTTTTCTTTGGAGAAATGTCTGTTCATGTCTTCTGCCCATTTCTTGACTGCATTATTTATTTTTTGTGTGTTGAGTTTGGTAAGTTCCTTATAGATGTTGGATACTAACCCTTTATCTGATAAGACTTTGCAAATTTCTTCTCCCATTGTGTAGGCTGTCTTTTGGTTTTGTCAACTATTTCCTTTCATATGCAAAATTTTTTTATCTTGAAGAAGTTCCAATAGTTTGCTTTTGTTTCCCTTACCTTTGGAGACATGTCTTACAATAAATTGTTGCAGGTCAAAGAGGTCCTCCTGTATTCTCCTCTAGGATTTTGATGGATTCTCACATTCAGAACTTGAAGAATTTTAAAAATTTATAATGGAATGTAAAGAAAACAAACATTTGTAGCATAAAAATGGAAAACAGCTTGATCAGCTATGCAATAATTGTAAGTTAACTAAATAAAATTGAGGTTAATATACTTTACAATGTTTCATCAAAGTATTATTTCAGCTCACTGGTAATAATCAGTTAAATTAATCTTAATGAGCTGTCACTTCACATAAGCATACATGAGCATAATGAGCATAAGGCATGGTGGGGTTTTTTTTACATTGTTTACCTTTCCATGTTGTGTCCAGAGGAAACCAAGATTTTGCCACCTAATTGTTAAATTTAAGTTGGAAAATATGATTAAAGATTCCCAGTGAATGATGGAAATATTCTATATCTTGAAATAGGTGTGGGTTACATGGATGGATCCATTTGTACAATTAAGATTGGAGCATTTCTATTTGTGTAAACATTTCCTTAAGAAAAGACCTATACAAAAACAAACATTGAGTGGGAAGTGGAGAGTGGAGGGGAAGGTATAGATGAAACAAGACAAGATATGAAGCTGGGTAATGTGTACATGGAAGTTACGCTGTTTGCTTTGAATGTGTTGAACTTTTCCCACAAATGTTAGTGAGTTATTACTTGTGAGACAAGTTTATAAATGTCAATTCAGTCTATTCTAGCAAAGGAAAGCAAAAGAGAATAAAACAGAGAAGCATTCTCCTGAAAGAATCTAAAGTAATCCATTTCCATACAAAGGCAGTGTCTTCACATACCAACCAATAATACTTGGATGATACATTAAGATATCATTTTTTTCTCTCATAACAAGCAACGTTCTCAAAGAAATTTCAATTATCTAAATTGAGTTTCACCAATACAGTACTGCTAGTAAAATTTGCTTTAAAATGAAAAATAATTCAGTAAGCTCTATGTGAAGATGCCTGGTGGCCCTGCAGGTAGAGAGAATGCACAAAGGACTACACAGAAGCCAGGGATGCCATCAAGCTGGAATCGGAATGCCCACGGAAGGAAGGAAGCATTTAGGATTGAGTTGGAAATAACTTTGTTTCAGAGAAGAAACTAAACCCATCTAATATGTTTATGATTGCTGGTTTTACTTCATCAGTTTATTTTGTTATACTCTTAAGGAAGTCTATTCTCAGTAACATTTATCAAGTGAACCATGGAGGCTGGTCACAGTGATCTTATTTTTATCCTTCTGGGTAGATAGAGATGTTTTTTAACTGCAAAATTATTTCATTTGTTCAGAGTTTAGACTTTATTTAGCTTTACTTGTTTTACCTAGAGTTGAAACATCTTGAAAAATATCTTCATTTTTAGGGGAGCCTAGGTGGCTCAGTCAGTTAAGCATCTGCCTTCAGCTGGGGTCATGATCTCAGGGTCTTGGGATCAAGCTGAGCAGGGAGCCTGCTTCCCCTCTACCCCTATTCCTGCTCTCTTTCTCTGTCTCTCTCTTTCTCAAATAAACAAAGTCTTTTTAAAATATCATCATTTTAAATCTTCCACCATTTTGGCTCTTACCTGAAGTGAACTTTGGTTGAACTCAATTGATTTCACCTTTCAAGAAATATGAAATAAATCTGAAGGAGATTATGTTTGGCTTATTTTGTGTTCTTATCTGTGCACTGACCCATTTCATGTATTCTGATATTTAAAGACATGTTTTCCTATTTATCTGAGCAGAAAGTGGTGACAGAAATGAGTATAGCCATGATGAACCGTCATTGAATTCTGTGGAATTCCGTCAAATGTAATTCACTACCCTATTTGGTGTTTGTTTAGAGCAACTAGTGTCAACCTTGTTGTGAGAGGATAGTAGAGGTGATTCTTGAATGTTCTCTGCGTTTCATTATGTCTTTACAACATAATAATGTATTTAGGACTTGATTAATATAAGAGGGAAATTTGATTTAAAAGTTATAATAAAATGAACAAACCTAATAAAATCATGACCAATTCTATCCATACTAAATGAAGTAAAATCCTAAAATGCCTACTTATGACAGATGGATTGTTGCTAGTTCCTCTTTTAAAGATTTATTTATTTGATGGGGAACCTGGGTGGCTCAGTGGGTTAAAGCCTCTGCCTTCGTCTCGGGTGGTGATCTCAGGGTCCTGGGATCAAGCCCCTCATTGGGCTCCCTGCTCGGCAGGGAGCCTGCATCCCCTGCCCCCTCTGCCTGCCTCTCTGCCTACTTGTGATCTTTGTCTGTCAAAATTCTTTTTAAAAAGACATATTTATTTGAGAGAGAGAGCAGCAGTGAGGGACAGTGGAAGAGGGAAAGAGTCTTAAGTAGACTCACAGGGAGCTCAGAGCCATCTTGGGGTTCTGTCTCACAACCTCAAGATCATAACATGAACCGAAACTGAGTCCCAGGCTTAGCTGACTGCATCACCCAGGTGCCCCACTACTTCCTCTTTTAAATAACTTAACTGATAAGATACTTACAAGTATTTGTTGGCTTCAGATTTCTTCCTAATAGCCTAATTGTTCCCTTACTGTGCAGGTATAACCACAAAATAAATTAAGTCTGTTGTTGATGCCATTTTATGAGCCATATAACTTACAGAAGTAATTGTTTATAATTGGTGTTGCTAACCAAATTTTACATTTTGTATAGTTTATTGACTTGCTGGGACGATTAAACAGGGTACTTCTTGGATTCACAAATGACACTACTCAACAGAGATAAATTTCACTGCAAAAGAATAAAAGTTGATTATAGCAAGTTTACACTACCTGAGAGCATGATTCTTAAACATTTGTATGCATGAGAATCACTTAGATTGAAGTGCAGATTTTCAGCCCTTAGCTCTACCATAGAATTTCATTCAAGGTCTGGAGGGAAACCCAGGAATCAACCTTGAAAAAAAAAACCAATTCATGACTCCCAAGTAATTATTTATGCATATAGTTCACATACTACAATTTGAGAAACACTGACTCCACCTGAAAGTCTTTATAAGGCTAAGATTTCGAAACTGGTATTGCCTGTATGCACCTCCTGAAGTTACTAGTTTGAACGCGTGGTGGCAGTGCAGGCTAAGAGAGTGAATAAGAGCTCTGCAGATTCGGTGGACTCCATTTTACTCAGAAGCCCCCCACCCCCCAATAGAGAACACATTTACAGCTAAAGCTAAGATGTATTCAGGAAGGCACTCGTCACCAGACAAGTTATAAGACAAATTCGAAATTCAACAGCAAAGACATTTCGGAGGGTCGATGGTGGACGTGCTGATGGGGACTGGAAAAGGATTTTCTTCTCTGGGATCAGACATAATGGGGATGGCGCAAACAAAAGCACATCGCAAGAAAAGGCAAGTGGCAATTTTCATTATATGGATGCTTTTGTGGGAAGCCAGTTCAGAATCGATTCAATATTATGTATTGGAAGAGTCAGAAACTGGCACATTTGTGGCCAGTTTGTCAAAGGACCTGGGACTCAGGAGAGGAGAACTGGCTGCACGGGGCGCCCAGGTTGTTTTCAAGGGGAACAGACAGTATTTGCAGCTTGACCCAAAGACCTATGATTTACAGCTAAATGAGAAACTGGACCGGGAAGAGCTGTGCGGCTCCACTGAGCCATGTGTGCTACCTTTCCAAGTGTTACTGGAAAATCCCTTGCAGTTTTTTCAGGCTGCTTTACGAATCACAGATATAAATGACCACGCCCCAGAGTTCCCCACCAGAGAAATGCTACTAAAAATATCAGAAATTACTACACCAGGAAAGCTATTTCCTCTGAAAATGGCACAGGATTTAGACGTGGGTAGCAACAGTCTTCAGAGCTACACAATCAGCTCCAATCCTCATTTCCACGTTCTCACTCGCAATCGCAGCGATGGCAGGAAGTTCCCGGAGCTGGTGCTAGACAAAGCACTGGACCGCGAGGAGCAGCCTGAGTTTAGGCTTACCCTCACAGCGATAGATGGTGGGTCTCCGCCCCAGTCTGGGACCACGGAGATTCAGATCCTGGTCTTGGACATCAATGACAACGCTCCAGAGTTTGCTCAGGAGCTCTATGAGGCACAAATCCCCGAAAACAATTCCCTGGGCTCTCTGATTATCACTGTCTCAGCAAGAGATTTAGATGCAGGATCCTTTGGGGAGGTTTCTTATGCCCTATTTCAGGTAGATGACATTAATCAACCCTTCGAAATAAACGCAATTACAGGAGAAATTCGACTGAGAAAGACTTTGGATTTTGAGGAATTTCAATCTTATCATTTGGATATTGAGGCTACAGATGGCGGGGGACTATCAGGAAAATGTTCTTTAGTCATCAAGGTTCTGGACGTAAATGACAACCCTCCTCAATTGACCATGTCCTCATTCATTAGTCCCATTCCCGAAAACCTGCCAGAAATCATAGTAGCAGTTTTCAGTGTGTCAGATGCAGATTCCGGACAAAATCAACAGGTTATTTGTTCTATAGATGACAATCTGCCCTTTCTTCTAAGACCATCAGTCGAAAACTTCTACACCTTGGTAACTGAAGGAGCACTAGACAGAGAGAGCCAGGCGGAATACAACATCACCATCACCGTCACCG